TTGTGCCTGATACAGGAAATATTTGCAGTAGAGGTATTTCTGAGCTTCTCAGGCAGCTCTGCTCATCTTATGTGTGCCTTGCCAGTCACCTGCTGCCTCTGTGCCTGTCCTGGTAATCTCTGCAGTGCTGCATGGTGGAAACAACCCTAAAGCTGGGCTGTGAACTTGTAAACTTATGAAACATATGTCCAATTCTACTTCTAGTCTTGCACACTGCATAAAAGGAAAGATTCTTGCTATTTTTTGTTTCTTACACCACATGTACCAGAGAGGAAGTTTTAGTTTCTGTGGTTCAAAAAGGGCACCTTCTAGGTCCATTACGAAAAAAAAGGAAGATTTTAATAAATTTATGTTCCTAATCTAAGTCAGTAGAAGAGTGTCTTTTTTTTCTATAAAAATCTGTAGAATATTTCCCTAAGGGCGCCAAGATAAATATACTGTTTGCACTAAAACATTCATTTCTAATAAATGGCCCTGACCTACTTTAATGCTGTTACATGTGTAATTGGGGCAAACTAATGTGTTAATCTTTCTTTAAAAATGGGACTGGCCTGCAAAGCTGTAAATACAGAAACAAATATATAGGAGATAGAGCCCCAAGTCCACAGTGTCTGCCTGCTGTTTGCCTTTAAAGTGTTGTGCTCTTAAAATCACAGCTGTGAGTTTGTCGGGCTCTGGGACTTGTAAAGTGCTCAGCTGATGTGGGTTAACCCACAGTCTGCACAATTCTACATTTTTACAGGCAACAGTTTAGTGGAATCCTGCTGGGATGAAGTGCAAGGCTGGGACACTGATTCCTGCAGTTTTGTCCATGCTGGGACACTGACAGTCATTTTTCTGTTTGCAGAATGGGTGGTTCATTTACATCAGCAAATCTTTACAGTGACCACCTGGTTAATGGTTGCAAAACAGACAGAGGCCTTTAAATGAAGTGGTAAAGTATTTCTTGTGCTGCTCTTTTGTTGATTAGAGCCAGAATCATTTGATGTGGAATCCTTTAATATGTGAATGCTCTGCCTGTTTATTGACACTGTCACTGCTCACCAGTTCAGTTGTGTCCTGGGTGATAAATTAGGGTTGTACAAACTCCTTGGCACCCCTTTCCACTGAAAAATCACTGAAATGCATTTTCTTTTGTAACCTCGGTGTGTGTGCTGCTGTTCTTTGGGTTCTCATCCATGTACAGCACACCCTGGGACAGACATTGAGAACAGCCTCATGTTGGTTGTACCACTGAGCTCAAGAACCAGCACCACCAGCTTGCAATGGTCTTTGCTTGGCAGGAAAAGGTGGAACTCCCTATAGGATAGTCTTGAAATTGGCTTTGTTTCTTTCAGATTTCTGTAGGAAATCACCCTGAATGTGTCTGTATATGCTGTATAACTGTATTTTATGAAATTATGGGTAATATGTTTTAGAAGAGACCCCAATTTTATTTCTTGGTGTTGTAAAATCAAAAATTCCATCAAGCACATACTTAATACTGGAAGAATTTGATAAAAGGATTGGCAAATGTTACTAGGAAGTCAGGTTATGCAATGCCATGCCCCAGACTAGGAACACTGACACTTCAGTTTTAAAAACAGCTCCCTTTTCTCTTAGCAGGGGCAGTCCAGCTCCTTGGGGGAGAGGTCACAATTAGCTCTTGTGAACAAGGTTCTCAGGGTGTAGGCACTGCCTTTCATGCTGGTGTTCCCTGAAAAAGGGGCTCAGGTCTGACAGATTCCTTGGACTGTTGTGTAATGGCAGGATTGACAGACCTGACCTGTGGGTTTTGTCCAAGAGGAATCTACTCCTGCAAATAGTTTCTTTTGCAGAATTCACATGACAGTAACAAACCATGTCTTGGGGCGCTGCAGTGCAGTGATGAATGAAGAGATGCTGTACCAGACACAGAAATAGATGGTTTTGCCGAAAGACTTTGTCTTCTGCTGCCAAGAAAAGCTGTGAAATCGCTGTGCAGGAGCTGCAGGGTCAGCCTGGTGCAACAGCAACTCCAGATTGGGGTTGTGTTTAACCTTCACCCGCTCGGGGAACATCTCACTCACATTATCTGAGGAGCCGCAAATGTGGCACCTTCACTGCAGGGATGTGACTCCCAGCACCCCATATTTGGGTATTTATAACTTCACTGTGTGCTGAGGGAGTGAGAGGGGACAGCAGGAGCAACACAGCACTCAAGGCAGAGAAGGAAATTAAGAAATAGAAAAGAAGAAGGAACACAATGTAAGGGTTTGAATCTGTCTCTGAATTTAAAGGAAGTTCATTGTTCACAGCAGGTCAGCTGGGCTTACACAAGATAACTAACAAATGAGTAAAATTCCAGGAACTCAGACTGACAACTTCCCAGGCTCATGGTATTGCCTGTTCATAAACAATTATGGTTTCCATCATCCACTTCAGGGTCAGAGCCAAGCCCAGCTCAGTTAATAACTGGAGATGAATGAGCCAAGTGCCCCAGTACCAGCAGGTTGTAACCACCTTCAGGGGGAAGATATAAATTGCAATCAGGTGCTTTTAAAAGCAAAACCATCAGCTTGAAATCACTTCAGTAACACTGTACTAGGCTGCTCTGACAGGAACACCACCTTGGGATGCAGTGGTGGAGAGGCTCTTCCACACACTCTAGGACCAGTTGTAACAGTTCAGGGTTTGTTGGGCAGACTTGGCTGCAGGTCTCTCCTGTGTCAACAGGATAAGCAAGAAGAGGATGATAAGACCCTTTTTCCTCTGACTCAAGAACAGATTCATGCCCTAGTGCAATTTCAGTCGAAAATGCTGTATGTGAAAAGTCAGCCTAGAAGTGGATTTATTTCTCCATCAGACTCACACGGCATTTGTGCTTATTAATGCTTTTTGTTGTGCTTGACTTTGAATGTCATCTGGTTTAGGTCATAATGAAATGGAGTACTTTGAATAACCAGTCTTTCAATTTGCATCAGAAATCAGCCATCCTACTTTACAGGCAAGCAAAAAATATTTGCTCTTTTCATTGAAACCTTGGCTGCAAATCATCAGAGTGCCTGTCTGCTTCGTGTTCTGCTCTTTAATTACAGAGTAATTAAAACCTGAAATTTGGGCCAGTGTTTGTGATGGTATAAAGTGCTACAACCAAAAAATAGTCCTCAGAACAGATGAACAAAACAGCTTTGCATGAGTTAGAATTTAGTATCTTAAATTCTTGGGTATTTTAGAAATTGAAGAATAATAGCAAAAAAGGGGTTTGCTATTTTTCATTTAAGGCTATTCTTCAGAATGTTTTCACAGTCTGATACTTATCATTCTGCTTTAAAGGCACATTTCAGACTTAAGTAATATTGAACAGAATTAAAATTTCCTCCTTTCCATTGGTTAAGTAGTAATTAACAATACAGGTTATGATAATATGATCTCAAATGTTGCAATCAGATGGAAGTGAAGATCAGATTTGGAATTAGATTTCTTAACTTCCTTTTGGGTTCAGTCTTAACATTTGCTGCTCTGATATCACTTTGATTCCACTCTGCCTCTCATTTTTGGAATCAGACACCTGGTTGCTCGTTATCATGATGATTTTGCACTCATGCAAAGACTGCACGAGTAATTTGCTGCAAAGCAACAAAAAACAAGCCTGGGGAGTCTTCAGTGTGCCAGAGGCACATGTTTGCTTTTTATCTTAAGGTTTTTTATGCTTTCAGACCTTACTGAAAACACAGAGCTTGAACATAGACTGGGAGAGGGAGTTTGACCTTCCAGAGATTCTGACAGGGAAGGATCTGCCCCCAGAGTGAGGAGATGCTCAGAGAGGGTACCAGCCTCTGTTAGACCCAAAATAGTGCCAGTGTGGAGTGTGACACCCTGTGCCTCCTGTGACACACCCTGTGCCTCCCTCAGCCCATTCTCCTTGGCCTTGCCTGGTTTTATACAGTAACTACCCTGCTGAATAACAAAGAGGTGCTTCATCAGGCCTGGCCCAGTTCTGCTTCACAGTTCTGCTCTTTACATGCAATCCCTGTGTGCTCTGAGTGCAGCCTGAGTGAATGGAGAAAAAAAAGTTTTCTGAAATTTTCCTAGATCTCACTTTTTTAATGTGCTTTTGAATCTCTGCTTGTGGTACCTCACTGCAGCACCTCTGATATTCTGTAAAGACACAGTTTCTGAAGGGACTGGGTTAAGTTCTCTTGCTTCATGTATTTTTCTCCAGGAATAAGATGACATTTCCCAAAATTACTTAATAATTACTGTTCCCTCCAAAAGGTCTGGCTTGGGTCACCTTGCAGGACAAACCCAGCCATTCTTTGTCTCTGTGGGACACTGTAGACCACTTCTCCCTGAATTCCTGCTTCAGGAAGAGCCAGACTGGTTCCAGCAGATTGAGGCACCTGCAATAATTTGCAGTGTGAGTGGAGCAGCTTCACCCTCTTCCCAGCACTGCCCCTGAGCTGCTCCAGTGACTCGTTGCTCTGGAACAAGGTGACATTTCTTCAGGTAAATGTTGTATCTCTGTGACCTGGCAGAAGGAGGAACAAGGAAGATTGCAGAGGAAATGAGATATAGGTAGAATATTGTGGTTATAAACCTTTCTAGGAAAACTAGCCTTGACCTGGCACAGTGTAAACTTTGGTCTCTCAGATTTTATTACCATGGGTTTGGGGGGAAATCCTCTGCCAACAAGGGAACTTTTGTATTAGACTATTTTGTGGCATCATAAAATAGTTTCTGTTGTATTATCTTATTTTACTATCTAGTTTATTTAAATGCAAATATGTGCATCCCAATTACCTTATTGAGGATGACAGTACAGGATTAAAAAAGTGAAAGAGATAGGGTTGTAGGGAATCTTGCTACTGTTTTTAAAAAGGAGTTGATGCTTCCAAGGAGCACTTCACAGGTACATGTTATTATTATGCATTTTGTGCTCAGATTCTTTTATTTCTGGTGATCTTCAAGGCCAAGGAAACCTGTGAGCAGGAAAGGGGGATCATCTTCCTGCACCTTAACCTGTGTCCATCCTCCCCCAGTTCCCGTGGTCCTCCCAGGTCTCCTGGTGTTCTCCCTGTGGTCCAACACTGCCAGGAAGGAGTGTCTGGACTGAGAGGATTTTCACATCCTTCTTTCAGAAATGTCTGACAACAATTGCTCTGGACAGGACCAGAACAGGTTTGTGCTGTGCCCACCCCTGATTCCCCACCCAGGAGTTACTGGATGTTCCCCCAGTAATGCTTGTGATTGGATCCTGATGGAGCTTTCCCTGGATCTTTGATTGACATGGAGCTGTGCCCTGGTGAATTGGCAACCTTTTTAGCCACTCTGCTTTTCTTTCCATTCACATAAATAAGTAACTATTCTCTTTGAGGCACTTTAACATTCAGATTTGGGGAACCGAAATTAGAGTCAGCACATTCTGACAAAAACATAGTTGCATAAAAGGTTTTTACATATAAAGGATCTTCTGGTCACTTTCCAGTTTATTTTCAATTTTTCTGCTTCCTTTTGGAATTTTTCAGCATTGCTGAGTTCCCACATGAACATCTGCAACATAATTTTGATCCTAAGTGCTTTATAATCATACACTCTATAAATATTAGATTGTCTTTTAGAGGCCACTTCACTTTGATTTTGAATATTAAGTGGAACAAACAAAAAAAATTATTGTTCAGACAATTGCTCTAATTTTGGTGTCCTCATTTCTGGGCTAAAATGTAACTAAATTCTGCCATTGCTGGAGTTTGAAACACATGGTCTTCTAATTAAGTAGTGTGCAGGACCACTCAGAGAGCTGGAGATAGAGGCATACATTGGATTGAAACAAATATTAGTCTCTTTTCAGTAGCAAAAAAAGACTTTTGAATAGCCAGATGAGAGCACAAGGGAATGATTCCCCAACCTGCAGCAATGGGAATGTTTCTCGTGTGTTATATTCAGGAAAACAAGAGAGCAGTGCACAAAGCCCCACACAGACAGAGACACTGGGCTGGATGGGTTTCAGCTTTCCAAGGAAATCTTTGCTGATTAAAGGAGCTCCCAGCACAGTGGCTCTACAATTTGCCTCACTTTGCCTTCCCCTGACTCTGACCTGCCTCCCCCCCCACCATCCCTGTCTCTGTGCTTTCCCTTTCCCCAGGATCTGGCTGGAGGTGGCTTATCCCAGGGTTTTGCTGAGGCCACCTGGTTGTGTCTGCCCTGGAAGTTACTTTGCTTACACTGAGTTACTGCAGTCACACCTCATTTATGTTTTGGAGGGCTTCTTTCACTCTGTTACTCCAGTACTGGTTTTAGGTTGTTCAGGGCCCAACAAGAAAATTGATAACTGGGCCCAAAATTCTTCAATACTTTTCAAATCCTTAAAGATGGACTTTTCCCAGCCATGTTTGAAATTTATATGAAAATATGTATGCACATAAAACATTTTGAGGATGTGTAGTGGAATTCACTGCCATAGGAAGCCACAAGAAAAGTCATGGAAACCACAGCCCTGGCTGCCCTTTCAATCTGACTCTCCAGGTAGCACCTTGCCATTCTGGACTCTGTAAAAGCTCTGTGCAAGTCTCACTTCCCAAAGTGTCCTCAGCTGCAGAGGTGAGGGGGCAGAAGCAATGCCCTTGTTGGAAGGTGGGAATGGTGCACTGGGAGAAGTCCAGTGGCCCAAATGTCCCAAGAACAGCCCCCCAGAGCTTTGGGTGTGCTGGCAGAGGGACACTCCTTGCACCAGCCAGAGCATTTCAGTCTAACTCTCTATTTAACTGAGCACATAATGTGGAGACCAGAGCAAGCTCCTTATTCACAGAGTGGAGTCAAACACAGCACCCAGCATCCCTGTTTGCAAGCTGGAAACTTCCTTCTTGAATAATATCTGATAATCATCCTTGTGTGCATGACCTGGATGTCAGCAGATGCTGAGAGCACATCTATTTTCAAACCAGTCTTAACAACCCAGCTGCAGCCCTGGGGAAGAGTGTTGTGCCTGAACATGCTCAAGCTCCAGGAAAGTTCTGCATCAGGCACTGAAATCTGGTCTGTCCTCAGCACAGAGTCTTCTAATTAACCTATTATTGCAAGATTTTGGAGTGTATTTCCAGAGGAGAGAGAATCTAGTCAAGACATGAAAAACGTGCCAGTGTAATTCAGTAATAGGGGAGTGAAGCCCTGTGGTCTAATGACACACCAGATTTATGAAAAGCTCTTTTCTGTTTTTCCCTCACAAACACAAACTTGCACTCAAACCCATTAGATAATTGTTAATCCATATTACATTTATCTTGTTAGTTGAATAACAACAGTCTGCATTGACCAGCTTTTTTTGAATGAAGCAGATTTTTTGAGCTCTTTTTTAATTCTACAACATTCTTTCATACTGCAAGTCTTATGTCTCTAATTTGAAAGGCTAAAGGATAATTTTAGGCTGTGGTCTGTATCCTGCTAATCAATGTAACTGCCTTCCTCATTCTTCCCAATCTCCTTTCCTTTTTCCGGTAGTCTTAACCACAAAATATTTTCTGTGAACTGTGACTGAGGAAGAGTTTCTGTACAGTGTCACCAAAAAATGAAAGACATTTCTAGGAGGTAACTACAAAGCAGATATAGAAGTTTGTGGCTGAAATGTCTGTAATAGCTCACTTGGTACTGTTTATCTCCTTGACCAAACCTTCCCTGGCAAGGCTCTTTTTAGTGGGTGTCACATCATCCATATGAGCATCAAGAAGAAAAATCACTGATGCTTTCTTAGGAAATAAAATAAACTAAAAGTTTTGGAATAATTGAATAATATTTTAGAGGGGACTTATGTTAATTTATGTCTTCTTGCCTTAGAAGTGAAGGTGTAGAAGTGAAAATATCAGCTTTTCTTCGTTGTAGTTCCTGCTGATGCACATATCTGCATCTTAGTGCTGATTCTGTTCTCACAGCCCTGATTTGCAAAAATAAGCTCCACCCTGTCTGAAATTTTGCCCTGAAGTTCAGAAATACCCAACCAGCTTTTGAAAATGAGATACAGACCTTGCCTTTCTTTGATAGCTCTGGAAGTGACTGCTTTGTGTTGCTGCCTTTTGCAGCTGTTTTTCCATGTGCCCGTGAGCAGGATTGGTTTTCTTTTGATGTGGATCCATCGTGCCCTTTGATAAACAGCACAGGAGGCACGGTTGTGTAAAAACCTTTGTGCACACACAGGAGGGACAGGATTCCTCTCTCCAGCCTCTCAGGTGTGGGATGCAGAGATCTGAGCCTGTTGTTTGGCAGGAATGAGGCAACTTCAAAAGAGAGAGAATTGTTTTCTTATTGCTGCCTTCTGATGAGCTTTCTCTTCTGGTCAGCAATACCTTTTTGTGTACAAGAGTCTTCAGAAGAGAGAGAGCACTTGAATATTCCTGAAGTTTGTGTCAGAACCAATCCTTCCTTGCTGACAGCACCAGCACAGCTCTCCACTGCAGTTCTGCTTCTACCACGGAAGGGGAGAGTTTTCTTTAAGATTAGAGGAGATAAAGCACCCAGAGGGAGGATGCCAATCATACAATGAAAAATTGAGAAAGGCTCTTTGCAAGATCAACACAGGGATGCAAGAGGAAAACTCTTACCATCAGTGGTCTGTTGCAACATTCCTTTTACAAAAAGTATTTCCCAAATACTTTTGCTGGCTTACAATTGCAGTACTCACAAATGGAAGATAAACTCCAAGCATTTGGGGATAAAAATGCCAAATTCTAGCAACTGCATGCAAACTTCCCTCTGATTTCTTACTTGTTAAGTCTCTTAACAAGAAAGTTCACAACTTGTATAAGAATGCCAAGTTCCCAGTATAGTATGACATATATAAAATAATTTTAAAATAGGCATAAGCCTGCCTGAGAAAGCTGGAGCCAGAGAAGTATGAGGTAGTTTAACTGGGATGAGCAGAACTCTCTGAACAGGTTGGAATCCACACTTGGAAAGGGCTGGCTGTGATTCCTTCTACCTCTGCAGACCCACTGTGCCTTCCAGCTCTTCTGCCAGCAAAAGGAATGTATCTTTATCCTGTTTCTCTCAAGTTTCCAAGTGTGTTCCCATGCCCTGGATACTTTATGTTCTGGATACAGGCAAGGGCTGCCTGTGAAGGGTTATCAGGGTGCAGGTAAAGCACCAGCACAGATTTTCCAGATGGTCAGGGCAGATACAGAGTTCCAATCTTATCAATGGGGGCAGTTCCATTCACTGATTGAATGCAGGAAGAAGGAAATAAAAGAGACTTTCCCAAATGGTGGCCTTTGGTTTTAGAAGGTGGAGTTAACAGCTCTGATTGCAGTGGATCCATCCCTGCTGTGTTCACTACACGTGCAAAATCCCCCCAGAGACAGGGCAGGGGATGGCTTGTCACCAACAGGAGCTTTTCCATAGTGCCACTACAAAACTGTCAGGCAAAATATGTCCCTTCCAGGAACAGCATCATGCACTCTTTTTAGCAATACAAGTTGGATGTTTTAATCCATATGTACATGGCAAAAAAAAAATTGTTTAATGCCATTGTTGCATTGTTCCAAATTCTGTGCATTCTCTGCCTGATGGTACCATATGCCAAAGGGCACCCCAGGTTCTCCAGAAGGGATATGTCAGTCCTCCTTTTGTTGCTAAGGAGTTGTGACTTTTCAAGAGCTGCCTGACAACTTTGTGGATGGTCCCATTTTAATTTACAGTGCATTGTTCGGTTCACTCTTTCACCAAACATCAGAAATCTTGAAAACATTCTGGGACATACTTTCTTCCATAGTTTTGTGGGAGAGGTGCAAAGATTTTCGTTCTTTCTTTATTGCCTCACTTTCCAGAGATTTTGCCGAAGCTTGTGAAATAATGTGAGTGCTCATCCAGCCTCCTGTGCTAACACCAGCTCACACGTTTCCCCTCTCACATCTCAGCATATCTGGGTGTGTAGCTGACATTTCTTTGTGTGGCCAACTTACCTTTGCTATAAATAGATTATAGTTTAATCACTTGTATGTTGCTTATCTTGTTTATTCCAAGTGCAGGAGTTCAGGAATTGAGACACCAAGACATGTTTAACTTTCTGCCCCTCTCTTGATACTGCAGTAACTCCTCTGGACAGTTAGAAAAGTGACAAAAAGTGGGAAGGAGAGCTTTTCCTAAAAGGAAGAATAAAATAGGTAATGATCCATTATAATTTTATATAATGAATTTTATATAATGAATAATAATACATCTCTGTGAGTGTAGAAACTTTGAGAGGCATCTACACATGGAGGGACAGCACTTGTCCTAGGCTGGATTGCACTGATGTTTTCTCCCTAGAAAACCAAATGGGAAAACTGTGTCTGCCCTGTTGGATACTGCCCACAGTCCATCCCTCAGGAATGGAATGGAAAGAAAGAGGACAAAGAGGTTCTGGAAACAGAAGCTTCCCAGCAGAGTGGACAATGAGACAGCAGCAGAGGGGAATGGTCCTGGCCATTCCTCTTGTGACTCACCTGAATAATTCCTCCAGGCTGCCTCCCACTTATTAGCTTTTGTGGCTTTAAGGACACAGAGGGTTCTTTTTGTCCCCCTTGGTTTCCAGGTCTGACAAGTGCTGAGCTGGTGTTGGGCTGCACTGAGCTCTGGCATTTTCCATTCAAACCAGGTTCCTTTGGAGACTCTGGAAAACTGTTACGTGAGTGTAAATGAAATTAGGATGATGCTGCAGTTCTTTATTGTCTGAGCTATTAACATTCAACACCTGAACCAGTCCCCTTTTAAGTAAGAATGAACAGGAAAGGGTATTGTATGAAAGTCAGACGTTTGAAGAAAAATGCCTGAGTAAATTTGGTGGCACTTTATGACTGAGAAAAAAGATAGAGAGTTCGTGATGGAAAAGCCATTGTTCCCCTCTGATAAATTGGCTTTGTCCACGTTACTTTGGTTTTATAACACACGGAAAACACATTTTGGATTATTTTTCCCCCCAGAGATAGAAACAGATTTTTCCATATTGAAGATTTTGTTGTATCTTTTATTCTGTGCATTCTCTGAGCTCGGAAGCTGAACATGCAATGCAGGGAGCAGGAGGATTGTTTGTGGTGTTAAACCTCTGCTCACAGACACCAAGTGAGTTTTCTCCAGAGTGGAACTGTTTGTCAGTGCTTGTCATGCCTTTGTCTTGCAGCCTGACCCCCTGGCAATGGCTTTCTCTGTGGACTCAGCTTGGTACCGTTGGCAGCGCCTGGGAGCTCCATCCCAGGCTCCATCAGAATCCACCCCACTGCTGCTTCCTGGCAGAGACAAACCAAAACTCAGCCTGAACAAATGGAGAGTCATCTTTCCTGGCAGTGGGAGACAGTGGAAAGACTGGAAACAAGCTTCTACCTTTTATTCTGGAAACGAGATACAGACCACAAAATACACATGGTTCACTTTTGTGCCCCAAAATCTTTTTGAACAGTTTCACAGGTAAAAAAAATCGTTCAGTGATCCATGAGATTCCAGGAGTCTCTCTGAAACAGTGACATTTGAGAGCAATGGAGAAGGGCCATGTGTAGTGGCCACAGGACTAACACTTAGGTGGTGATTATTTGTAAGCAAATGTCACTCAGTTCACACTGAAATGGAGGATTAAAGCAAGTAAACACTGGCAGTGTCTGACACTGCTGGGACCAGCTGTCTTGTTTGAATGCTGGAACAGTTTTCTTTGTAAAAATTCCAAATTTTTATTTAAAAATCCCTCTGGTTTCATAAACTCTTGATTTTTAAGAACACAAAGAGGATTCATTGGATGTGTTGAGAAAATATTGTGGATTTCAGCAACTCAGTTTTGATATCTTTTTAATGTCATGAAGTGACTCTCTACCAACCCATAAACAGTATAAATGTATGTGCAAGTGCAGGTCAGCTTTCTGTCCAAGTGCTCATTTCAAATTATGTACCCCCTCAGCAGAATTAATCATGTCAAAAAGATGCCCAGGGAAATATCATTATGATAAAGAGAAATGAAAATTGTATATTCATCTCTAGCCTTGAAATCTTCATTCTGTATATTAGATTTACACATTCATAATTTGACCTTCCACTTGTGGAATCCTTCATGGATTCCTGACCGGGACATTTCATTCATTGGTTTGTTTTTTTAAGGTTTCTTTGGCTGCTGTTTGATTTTGTGCTTATTTTCAAGACTGAGGCAGTGGGGGGTCATTAAAGACCTTGGAGCTCCTGGTAAATAGTGTTTGTAAGATGTGGGGAAATGGAGTTAGCTATAATAGTATGAAAATGTATCTCACAGGCTCCTCTGAAGAAATAATTATCATCTTGGTTAAGCAACTGGTTAATCCATTCTGGAGAAAGGAAAAGGAGGGCATAGGAGTGGAATGGTTAATGTTCCTTTGACACAAAATGGGTGTTGTTCATTAAGGAAAAGACACATTTTCATTTCTGACTACTTTTAATTTATTTTCTCCCTTTTCAGGCTGGGCAATCTTTGCTTCTTCTTTCTGGTGGTTCTGATCTGGTTCCCACAAGTGGAAGTCTTCCACAGGGAGGTCACTCTGCTGCCTCTGGTTGTGGTGCTGCTTCCCAGCATGATTAAGGATGCTATTGAGGACTACAGAAAACACCAGTATGACAAGACAATAAACTCCTGTAAAACCAGGGTATATGACAAGTAAGTAAACAAAACCAATTATTTTCCCTTGTGTTTATTGGGGCGGAAACTGTTCATCTGGTTGTGCAGTAATTCCCTCATTGACCCTTTGGAGCACTGTAAAATTGGAAAAGCTCTTAGAAAAGAATTTTTTCTACCTTTAAAATGCCTTACTTATCTCACTGAAATCATCTCAGTATCACTGGAGCTTTGTTCCATGTCCCAGCAGTGTGTGCTGATATACAGGTTTCCATTCCAAGTTTTCAAACCAGCTTGCCAACCCACACAACATCCTCTCCAGGGAGCAGAAGGATCTGGAGGAAAAATGAAACTTATCCAAGTCTGGAAAGGATAACTGAGGCTGTTTAAAAACATGTAAGATGTTTCACACTGAACCCATTAATAAAGAATAAGTGATCAACAACATTCAAGGTGAATCACGATCAGGAACTGAAAAACAATTTCTAGGGCTTCCAGTAAGCAGAGGGATCAATAGATGGGATGGTACAACACCTGCAGGGAGCTGTTTGCTCAGGAGTGACTCAGAAGGAAGAAATACTTTCATGTGTAATTGTTATTGCAACATTTCCATTTCATCAGAGTTTCTTGTCCAAGCACCAACTTGACTTGAGACTGCTCAGCTTATCACTGTATAATGCAGTAGATAAGAGTTTTCATTTAGAAGAAGTTTAAATATTTAGGTCTCTTCCTTTTTTCACCTCCCCTTAAAACCAGACTACAGAGAAAATATTACTGTGCTTTGCATACCTGTCATTAGCTCTCCTGGAAATTACATATTCATGTGGCAGAGGCATGAGGACCAAAGGGGGAGAAGAAAAGAGAGACTGGAAGGAGTGACTGGGTAAGAGAGGAGGTTTTGGGTATATCAGAGGAGAAGGGTTGGTCTGAGGGGCAGTGCAGGTACACTGCCCTTCACTTGCCTGTGTCTGTGTGTCATCCCCAAAACTGCCAAATCAGAGGTTTGCTGGGTTTGGGGGGTGGGAGTTGTTGTTCAATAATCCATGTTATGATCCATGTTATGATCATGAAAACAAGTAGTAGATAGAGGAAGTAAAAGAGAAATACTGTCTGAACTGAGCTTGGAGCAATCTCGTGTTGACATCTGGGACGTGAAGCTCAGCCCATCACCTTTGAGCTTCCTGGCAACTCCCAGGGCCATAAAATGATCCTGGAACTCCTGGAGTGACCTGTGGAAATCCTGGGAGTGTTCTGAGGTCTGTCCCTGCTCTGGGGCGGAGCAGAGGCACCCTGTGAGCAGAGGCAGTGCCAGGGAATGGTCTGAGCCAACAGGAATAACCCAACATTCCAGATGCTTCTGTCCCGGCGAGGTGCAGCCCCAGCAGGCTCTGGGCCCTGCAGCTGAGTCAGGCTGAGCCCTGGCCCGGGGGAGCTGGAGGCTGGAGCAGAAGGAGAGGCAGCTCTGGGCTTCGGACACCTCAGCTCTTCCCTCCACCACTCAGGAGTTCATTTGGATTATTGAACTCTTCTAACTTGGTTGGTTTTCAATTTGAAGCTACTTTTTGAGAGGAAAACAAGATGTCAAGGAGAATTGTTCCAGGCTGCTTCTCTAGAATGGTGTGGAAGAAACATTTCTTCAAAGAAAGCTGCTGCCGCTGTGGTTCCCCAGACACTGAAATCCAAAATGAGGAGCTGGAGAAGAGAGGAAAAGGAAAGAAAAGAAAGAAGAAAAATGAAAACAAACGAGTGATCGTCTCCAATTTGCCCTTTGGAAGTCAGAAGTGGAAGGAAAATCCAAACAGACACTACGGCTCCAATAAAATCAAGACCACAAAATACACCATCCTGACCTTCCTCCCCAAAAACATCTACGAGCAGTTCCACCGCTTCGCCAACGTCTACTTCGTGTTCATCGCCCTGCTGAACTTTGTGCCAGTGGTGAATGCCTTCCAGCCAGAGGTGTCTCTGATCCCCATCTGTGTCATCATGGCCATCACAGCCATCAAAGATGCCTGGGAGGACTTCAGGAGGTACAAGTTAGACAAAGAGATCAATCACATGGGGTGTTACATCTACAGCAGGTGAGCTTTGGGCAGCTTTTGTTACTAAAACCGTGGGGTTTGAGATCTTTTATCAATGGTGAGGCTTTTTGCTGAAAAAAATTAATACATTTCCAGCTGCTGGGAAATCCCGGTGATTAAGTGAAATGGGGAAAATTCAAAGCCACTATTTCCCACCTGGTATTTGTACTGATACAGGGGAAGATTTTGATTTTTTTCTTAAAGCACTTTTAGACTGGGAAGATCAGTTTGAGTTTCATGATACTGGTGTGGCTGTGGGCCTCTTGGATGTGGAGAGCACTGGAAAGGGGTGCTCGAGGAGATACAAGCAACTGCTTTTCTAAGAAATCTTTGGGAGTGTTTAATTTTATCTGTGTAAAGGGGCACAGAACAAGATCTGTCATGGGACTTGTTTGCATTCTTAGATGCCAAGAAACCTCTTAAAGTCTTGGCCCTTTGAAACCCATTTAATGTTGTACTCTACTCTGGAGCTTTCAAAATGAAACTGTAAAAATGCAGTCTAGAAACAGGAGATAGTGACATGTGCCTGTGTTTAGTCATCCCTAAGTGAATTAACTGCGTGTTAGTCTGTGCTCACTTAAAATGCTTCCTGACTTCTTGCTCTCAGGACTTTCCTAAATTTGAAAATTATGTTTTATTGTATCAAAACTGTTCTCTCAGCAAAGTAGCAAATGCCTTCTCCCTGTTAAAATATCACATCTGGGAGTCAGGAGTGCAAAACTTTCCATCTCTGTGGATGTACCTGTCAGCCCTCCAATTAATCAGCAGTGCTTTACATAATGTGCACTTTCACAGGCAGGATCTTGCAGAACTTTGGCTTTTATCACACGGGGCTGTCATTTCTCTTTGTTTCTCTTGCGTGTGTTTGTCAGGTTTTTATTTTTATATCCTGCTGGTTAAACAGAAAAACAATGGATTTGCTTGTTTAGAGGCTAGACTTATCCCCAAATATAGATAATGATTTGTCAGAAACAAAACTGCACTGCTCTCTTTGCCAACTTGTCCATAAGAGAAGGCACTTGACAAGTTCCTAAATAAGTTCATTTAAGATTCCTCCTCTCCCACAGAGGAGAGTGTCAGTAATTGGAGCTCTTGGGGTAGGGAGGTAAAGCTGCCTCCTCTGCCTGTCTTGGAGACAACAATCTAGTTGGATGTCTGAATGTTTCCAGTGTTGCATTAGCCCATGAGGCAATGGATTATTTGTTAACACTTGTTAAAACCACGATGAGGGAAAGGTGGGGCAGTGGGTGCTACTGAATGAATCCACAGAGGAATCTTAGTTGTTTCCTCTATACAGACAGCAACCATGTTAATTTAGATCTGAAAGCCTTTTACCACAGGAACATGAGAAGCAGGGAATACAGTAAAACTTGTTCTGTATAAGGGAAAAATGTCCCTCCTGGAATTACAACACACATTCAGACCCAGGTTCAACTCACAGCTGTGAGTACTCTGTTATGCAGAAACATGACATGGGCCTGCCTTAAAATTGGGTTTCCCATGCCATAAAAAAAGATGTTGATCTGCTAATAAATCCTGCCTAGAATCTTGTCTTTCACCCAAGTTTTATGGCCTGAAAAGGTGATGTAAGGGAAAGGAAGATGAGAAGGGCTTCCGACTGTAGGATTCATCCTGTCTGAAAAGAACGTGGGTAATTACAGTTGCCATCAGATCAGTCACCACAGCTTATTATATCATGAATAATTTTAATCAGGCTTCTCCAGTGCTTTGGGAAGCTGATATTTCTTGTTCTTCTTGCTGGCTGCAAAGTCATGGAAGAGAATGATGTCTTCTAATTTTCTTCCTTCTGAATCATCTGCTGGAGGTGATTTTTTTAACACAGGTGAAAGTCTTTTTGGGACCCTGCATATTTTGTTAATCTTGTGGTGTCAAAAAGTTTTTCTTAATAGAGCAACTGATCTTTCATCCTAAGATGAGGGATTACTTAGATTTTAAGGGGTAGTCTTGGAGTGCATATGGTCTTTATTTCAGATTTCAATAACAAGAACTCTGGCTCCTGCTCCAAAGGAAATACAAAGACAGACCAACATTTCCCAAATGCTGACTGTTCTCCAAAACTTTCTTGAAGACAAAAGGAAATGCAGTAACTTGTCTTCTTTTAACACAGAGCAAGGGAAATTGAAATTAAATAGGCTAGCCTGTAAACATCCTTCTTCCAATTTTGTTTTCCCAGAGATCAGCTGGAATGGGAAACCCAGGCTGCTGATCTAATGAAAGAAAAGACTCTTCCAGTAGCATGTTTAAGGAATGTTTAATTGAGAAAATGGGAGACAATTAACAGACATTAAAGTATTTTGGGGAGATGCAATAACTTAGATGTAATGTTTCATTTTGGAGATTGTCATTTCAGACCCAAAGCTTTTGGAATCATCCCAACTGTAGACAAACTTGTGCTGTCAGAACAAATCACCTATGTTTAAATGCCTCATTTCTCCTGGTGTTCTTTAAAATATAATTTGTCTGCTTTTAAGTTTTGCAAGCAAGGGGGGGCAGCAATTACTACAAAATGTGATTGTCAAAGCATTTATGCTTTATTATCCCTCTTTCATTGCATATAAATTTCTCAAGTCATCTGATTTCATACAACCCTAATTAGTTATTCTCCATCCATAACAGTTAATTATAATCTTCAAATATGTATGATTTCTATCAAGTTCATTCTGCTGCACCCAGACACCTTTTAGTCAAGACCTGCACAGAGATTGCTCCTTTCATCTTTCCTGTCAGTCAGTCCCCCCAGCCCTGCTGTGGTTCCTTCTCTCTGAACTCTCTCCAGTTTGTCACTCACTCACTAACAGGGGCTGCCACTGGATGGGAGGCACAGCCCTGAGAGGGAATGGCAGGGCAACAGTGGCTAAAAGCTGTTATTTAATTTTCTTGAAGTTCCATAATGTTCAAATATATGGCTTGGATGTGATACGTCCCTCAGATTTTGTAGAG